TGACTGTAGAAGGCCATCTAACACAATCACCCACCCCACGCCGTCTAAGGCGGCCAAGCCACCCAAACCTATTCTTTTTAGGGTTTAGGACCTAAACTCAGTTAGGTCCATCTTGGCCAACAACACCTTTTCATTTTGATGTTAGGCTGTCTTTAAACATTTCTATAGCCAAGAAGCGAGAAACGCAAAGGGTTTGAACTAACATTCAGGCCAGGTTGGACACTTGGAGTTGATCATCATGAAGGACGAATGGTGGAATATGGGCGCTCTTGCATTAGAAGCCACTATGTTGGAAGCGCCCTCGTGAGAGGACAACGGTTACTTCCAGCCTCCGCCCGGACTGGAAAGGGGCACGCGGCAGACACATACTCCTCTTCCCTGTATTTGCGAGGGGACTGGATGTCAGTGTCTGCGCTGAACATGGCCACTGGCAGTTTGCAATAGCCGCTTGTCATGACGATTAGTCAGGACGCAAGCAGCGACATAGGAGCATGCGAGTTGCTTCAAGAGTACGTGACTGCAACTTTGCTCCAAGATACGTCCGCAAGTAAAATGTTACTATGTTTTCAGATTCTTTCAGGCCAGTTGGGTGGACTCTGCTGGAATCGCCCTGCTTTCAGTTTCTGTGGAGGTTGAACTTTCCGTATTTCCAGTGTAAGTTTGAGTAAGCATGAAATCATCATAGTAGAAAAAGAGAACAACGATAAGAAGCAGTCGTAGCAGTCGGGGTGGTCGCACTCGTCGTGCTTGCCGTCGTCGTCATCGTAGTCGTCGTAGACATACACGTAGATGTAGACGTAGAAGTAGGAGTAAGTCGAAACACTACCATTGGGGGGTGGGGGGGGGGGGCTGGGAACGCAGAGCGCAGGACCATATATACCCTTGTTGGTAATAATTTTGACCATATATGATGGAGAATTAGGGTCAAACCCTTAGACTCTCTTCCCCAGTAACCAGGGCTAAAAAGGTTTAAGCTTTATTATAGAGACCCAAAAAAGGAAGCCCAAAAAGGTTCAAGTTCTTCCATTAACTAAGTGGGTAAAGCCAGGTTGAAGTCGCCTCCAGTGGCTGGATCACCCCAGGTCACCACGGATCCATCTAGGCGGAGGGCGGCAAAGGCCTGGGACAAGGGGGGAGGATAAGGGCTTAAGGCTACCCACCTTAAGCCCTAAACCCTAAACCCTACGCCCTAAACCCTAAACCCTACGCCCTAAACCCTAAATCTGAGCAGGTAGGAGTTTTAGGTTTCGAGGGCTTTGGGGATTTAGAGATTGAAGGATGTAGAGGTTCAAGCGTCTCGGGTGACTGGTTTTAAGGACTGAGGGGGTTGAAGGGTTCGGAGGTTTGAGGGTTCAGGGGTTCAAGGGTTTTGGCGGTTGGCGCGTGTAGAGTTGAAGGGCTGCGAGATTTAAAGCTGGAAGGTTCACGGGTTTGGGGGTTGGAAGACGGAAAGATCTAAGGGTTGAATGGTTGGAGCGTTCGGGGCTCCAGCGTCGTATCCCTTTTTTGTCTCCCCGAAGAAATCTTGCCCAATATAGCCTTGGTAATATCTTAGGAGGACTCCCCACCCTGCAATAGTTGTATGGCAGGAATGCAATACGACCCTAATGATATCCTTGTTATTCATTATAGTCGCTATTACAGGGGGGTCCTCCGGGGTAATTCCTAGCCTCTTAAAGGTTCGTTGGAATATCCTCGGCCAAGGGGCACAGCCTGGGGTAAAGCCCTCAAGCCCTTACGCATACTTGGATGGGTGTTGTAAGGGCATGAACTAGTGATACCCCTGGGACCTGTGGTTGTTCGGACTTGGAAGAGATTTCAATACAGGAAAGAAAGCCTAAACCCAAAAACGCTAAGCCCTAGACCCCTAAACCCTATAAACCCACATAGACATAGGTTACTGCTAGGCGCCCACCCAAAATAGACGGAGAACACACGCACACACAAAAGAAAAAAAGATCTGAAGGAAAGTCTGGAGACGGACTGGCTGGCCTGTATCTCCTTCACGTCTTTCAGTTGGTGCCGGACTGCCTCACTCCCTAAGCTCCCTAAACTCCCTAAACTCCATAAGCTCCCCAAACTCCCTAAGCTCTCTGAACTCGTTAAACGCCAAAACGCTCCCTAAGCCCCGCAAACTCCCCAAGCTCCCTAATACTCCCTAAGCCCATTGCCTCACTGTGCCCACCACTATCTGGCAAGCCCCAGGATACCACCGATCCATCGCCCAGGATAGCAGCGAATGCCCTATGCCTTTCTGACTGGTTCTTAGTAAGGGATAAGGGAATATATTGGGGTTATCTCGGGAGAATGCAAAAATGAAAACTGCTACTTAGTGTTAGGGTTAGTAGGGAAAGGAATATAGTATACCTAGGATTATATTCCTTGTTTTAGGTTTAGGGCTATTACCCCAACCACGGAGATTCAAATGGAAAAGAACAAGGAAAATTGCATGGAAAATACTATATAGTTACTGCTGCTACGCAGGAATAGTCTGTAAGAGGGTCACTGCAGTGCACTTGTTCTCCTATGCCTTTACTGGCTGGTACCTTCAAAGCCTCTAAAAACTGTGTATGAACAGGTCCCCTTATGAACCAATAAGGGAGAGTTTTAATGGTCCAAAGCGTCACCCAACTCTGGAATATTTATGGGAGGCCATCGTGAGGAAAAGACAGTTGTTAGATGTGGGGTTTGAATCTTCCAGGCAAGCTTGAACAGCATTGAAAACATCCCTTCGAATTGGCAAGGGTTTCCGACAACTAGGGTAGATTCCTATGGCACCAAATAGGACAAATCCCAAAGAAGGACACCTAGAAGGTACTTAGAAGTTAGAAGTAGAAGAGACCCCTAAACCCTAAACCCTAAACAGGGAAGCTACAGGCTACTTAGAGGGTCTGTCCTATCTGGGGCTCCCTTGGGTTTAGGGGTTTCGGGTGTAGGGTTTGAACAACAACCCAGATACGTTGCTACGACACTGGTCTGCCGCACTTGCAGGGTCAAGACATCGCCGAAAGTCACGCCAGCTTCTGCAAGGGTGTGACGTAAGCTCAGACGCTCTCCAGTAGAGTTCAACCTTAGGCATCCCATATCCGATGATAGGCTTAGGGATTGTAGATACTTGTATCTGTAAGTTTGTTTGCAAAGGGACATGACATACTCCGTGTGTATACTGTATGTACATGTGTATGTACATATATATGTCTAGACACACAGACATACTGCTTAGATTTGGATACCAACTGGACAGGTGAGGAGCAAGACTCCGCTCCCCGTTCCCAGCGCTTGCTGCGCCCGTAACCTCACTCATGCTTCGTTTAGAGGGTGGAAAAGGTTATCTGAGTTCAAGGGGCTCTATCCATCTATCACAAAGATGATTGTCGAGGATGATATGGGGACCAATACAGGGATTTCTTAGCGCAACTCTAAACTGAGTAAGTAACTTCACATCCTGCACGGAAGTCATGAGGCTGGCTGCAATCTGCACAGTTCGCCCGCTCATGAGGGCGACTTGGATGGAATCAGATGTCACATCTGCCATGGCTGCGATGGCGTACTGGTGGTTAGTAGGGAATCTGGGAACTGAATCCGTATATAGTCTCTATGTACTATATTCCCTCATTTCCTACCCCAAAGTAGTAGTTTCCATTTTCTTTTCCAGGCCCCTTATGTAACCCCAAGATATTCGCCTATTATTCCCCACTAACCCCCAGTAAGGCGATGGAAGGAGCGAGAGCCGCGGACTCCTAAGTCCTGGCTCTTGAGCCCACAAAGCCGGACGCTGATTCCGAGTAATCCTCTCCCCCTACAAAACCCCCCCAAACCCCCCCCAAGGATTCAATACTCATATACTATGATGTACCACAGGTTTAATGTTGGGAGAGGACCATCTTTCGGTTCAAGAGCCCAAAATCGGGATTTCACCATTGAAAAAGCTACCTCCTCTTCAGACGTAGCTGATGAGGAG